TAATGTAGCGTTAAAAGAGAATCGAAACTTTCGAACTTTAAGCCAAAAGAAATTCGAAATATTCGAATTGTTCGAACTTCATGTCAATAAAAATTCGAAGCGTTCGAAGTTTTCGAATTTTTTTTACAAAGAATTTCGAAATCTTCGAATTTATCGAACCTGAAGTAAAAAAATATTCGAAATATTCGAATTCGAAATTTTAGAAACCGTGAAAGCTTCGAAATTTTCGAATTCGAAACTCCGCTGTGGACAAAAGTTGCGAATTTTTCGAAATCGAACCTCGGTCGGTACGAAAATAACGAAATTTTTCGAAATCGAACCTTAGTTCGCTTCGCAAATATCGAAACCTTTCGAAATCGAACCTAGGGTGGTTCGCGACATCCCTACAGATAACATTTCGCGGCACCTTGCGCCAGTCCCAGTTATATATCGTGCGTGTCGAACGGAAGCGAGCGAAAAAAGCATGAGCGCGAACAAGAAAGGAAGCGCGTGCGCATAGCGTGAGTCTTGGAGCCGCAACGTGCCGTGAGAAGGCGCAGCCAGTCTTTTCGGCAGGCGCTCCCGTGCCCCGCAAACTTTTGCTCCCGACTGTACGTCGGCCGATACTCGTGTCGGTGCACATCTCAATCTCAACTAAACATCGAGCGCCGATTGTGGCTGACTCCATGCATGTAAGAACGAATTAATCTAACAGGAACTTCGTGAATAAGAACGAGGCAAGCGTGTGGCTGTAGAAGGATGTCGTGACCGGTGGCATACGTACACTGGTTTCCGCACGTTGCTTCGGTTTACTTTATCTGTTGTAATAGCAGTCTTTGTACCGGTGCGTGAAGGCCTCAGTTGCTTCGAAAACCAAAGCTGATACAGCCAGTCTCTTTTTATCCGATGATTCTGTCAAGTCCTAATCACGGCGTCATATATATATATATATATATATATCAAGAGTGCACGTTTGGTGTTGTTTGCGTTAATTTTACTGCGGAGGACGTTGCCTTTTGCGCGGGATCAGTCTTCTCGTGTAACTTGTCTTCCAAATTTGCTTGCAACAATTTTTGCACCCTCCGATTTCCGTTCTATATTCGGTTTCTTTTCTTGTAAATGTGTTTCAGCCTTAACATTTTGCCGCGGCGCAGCTCTGTTCAGAGAAGAAACGGTCTCAGCACAGCAGGGTGCACGAAGCGCGTCATGTGTTTAGAAAAAAAGAAAATGAAATTGGGCAAGAAATGATTTGGTAACTGCACCGTAATAAGTGGCTGCCAGCAGTGGAAAAAAAAAAGAGATATGTTGCCTTATAGTTGGAGTTAAGTCATCTGCCTTATTGTAGTATTTGAGGTAGAAAGGAGAACAAACTAGATGCCTGGGCCGGCTTGCAAGAGACAGCGTCTCGGTTGAGACTGCTCAAAGAAAGCGCTGCCAAGGCTCGGGCGCGCGAGCGTCTAGGACTCGGTTTAAGCTCTAGCACTAGCCTTGACAGCGCTTTCTTTGAGCAGTCTCAACCGAGACTCTGCTTCATGCAAGCCGGCCCACATATCTAGAAAACCAATTTTCTGCCCCAAAAGGTGGTAAAAAAAATGTGTCACATTACTGTGCAATTGCGGGGCGTTAGCGTGAAACATTTTCGCGATAGACTGCAACGCAAACAAAAAATGGAAGAGCAAGAAAAAAAAAAAAACAGTAAGTCAAGCGCGAAATTCTAGGGAAAGGAAGGTGGGAGTGGAGGAAGCAGATGGATAGCTGGCAAGGAGAGGAGGAACTTCCCTTGCCAGCGTTGTTTACTTACTCCTTTCCATGTTCCTTTCCCTTGCCCTTGGCAGCAGTTTAAATCAAATAGCGCTGCGTCGTCCTGGCTTTCATTGCACTGCTCAAGCTATGAATGACAAGGCGCTATACCATTCCAGCCCAGCTCTGTTCACCGGACCTCTCAAGCCAGATGCACAGAAACGAAAACCTAGCCGAACGTTTCACATGACAATTACTGCGGCCATTCATATCACTGCCCAATGTTAGCATGCTAGACTGTAGCTCCTCATGGCTCGGGCAACTTAAAAGAACACGGAAACATAGTTTTGTATGTTAAGACTGGACGACAAGACGACACGCACGCTGCAGGTGTAGACAGGCAGGTGCAGGTGTTCTATCTTTCTGGTGTAAATAGAAACATTGCCTTCAGATTAACACATAACATTGAGGATGGCTGTTTTGTACTTCAGTTTAAACACAATGTTAGTTTTGAAACTTGAAAGCTCACGTTAAGTGCTTTATAATCCTTACTGTGCTCATTTCTAGATAGGTGTATGTTTATGCTGTGTGTCATTATCTTCACAAGCACAGTTGATTTAATGTTCACTGACTTCAGTTGTGGCAGGAATAAAAAAATTTGGGGTCAAGGATTAATATCTTTGGATTAGGACTTCGCCATGATTGCTTCGAATATTGGTAATGTTTCAGGTACCTTTATAAAAATGCAAAGATCATGTGTTTAAGTACAAAATCGTGGAGAGAAAAATTTTTTTTTTGCAGATCTTGGGACTTAAAGTAGACCTTCAATCCGAAAAAAGAAAGCCAAGTTGTTCAGCTCTCATGTCGTCTTAGGATATTGTATTTCTCAGGGTCCAAACAAACATGTTCAATATTAAATCAACTTGAAATAAACCAAGCACTCCTTTTTGGTTATAGATGAGACATCACTGCAAAAGATGCCAGAAAAAGTTTACATCATTGGACACGTTCTTCAAGCACACATTATATCATGAAACGTCATCAAGAGGTGTTCCATGCAGCGTTGTCGGCTGTGAGGCTGCATTCAAAAATTACAACTCATTGCGAAGCCACATCACAAGGTGTCATTCTCCGCTTGCACCTCGTAATGCAACTAACTTCCAATCCTGCCGGACATGCAGTGTTAGTTCCTGCAGTGAAGAGGTGAGCCCTGGAAAGGCTTTTATCGAGCACCTCAAAAAACATCTCACCGGCAACCCGCCAACTGTTGTAACTTGTCCAATTGATGCGTGTGATAGCCAGCTTAGGACATGGGGTTCACTCAAGACCCATCTTTCCATATACCATGGGAATGGAAAAAAAAATCAGTGGTAACAGAGCCAGTAGAGCAGGATAAAATAGTGACGTCATGCTGTAGCAAGGATGACAATGGTCTGGAGAAGATTAGGGAAAAACCAGACGTTGAGAGTGAAGTGCCTTCAGTCATTGATGATGTGGATCCCCCTCACTTAGATCAAGACTCTTTCCTTGAAAGCATGGCCCTTTTTACTTTGAAGCTTGAGTCAAAGTATTTGATCCCGTCCTCAATCGTCCAGGATATAGTTGCTGACGTGAAAAGTCTTCATGGCATTTCACAGGAGCATCTTATGACTGATTTGAAAGCTCACCTAACCGATAAGATGTCAAGAGACCAAATGACTGAGGCAATTGACCACTCCTTTGGGAAGAGTCCTTTGTCTGTTGCATTTTCAAGTGATGGAGCTCTTCGCTCAAGCTACATGAGAAATGTTTACTACACTAACAAACTTCATCACAATAAACCAGTCGAAATCTCTCTTGGATTAGACTATTCCAACGAAATGCGACATTACAGCTATGTGCCCATAAAGGTGACACTTCATTCGCTGCTTTCTAACCCAGATGTACTGTGCAAACTCTCTTTCAACGCGCAGGGAGGCAACGATGGTGTGTATCGGGAATTCACAGACGGCAAAGTTTTTCAAAGCCGGATATCATCCGATGGCAGTACTGTATCGGTAATCTTATACCAAGATGCTTTCGAAGTCGCCAATCCCCTTGGATCAGCCCGTGGAAAGTTTAAAATGTTAGCGGTATACTTCACGCTTGGAAACCTACCAGCTTACCTCAGAACCGTAGTTGACCCTCAACAGCTTGTTTTACTTTGCCATGATAAAGACTTTAAACACTTTGGTTGTAGGAAGCTCTTCGAGCGACTCATCAGTGACCTCCAAGATCTTGAAGATGGCATCACAGTGAACGGGCACCGTTACGTTGTGCAGCTTGCTTTTATATGCGGTGACAACCTTGGAAGCCATAGCATTGGCGGCTTTGTGGAGAATTTCAGCAGGGCCTCTTACATATGCCGGTACTGTGTTACAACCATGCAAGATTTTAGGAACAACAAGCCAGCAGAGCTTCGAACTGTTTCATCATACACTGAAGCAGTCAACCGTGCTAAGGACAGCCAAGAACAGGGTTTTATGGGAGTCAAACACGACTCTCCATTCAACAAGCTTTCAACATTTCACGTCTGTCTTCCTGGGCTCCCGCCATGTCTTGGGCATGATCTTTTTGAAGGTGTTGTTGACTACGACGTTGCACTGATGATAAAATATTTCGTAAAAACACTGAAATGGTTCTCTTACCACCATCTTAATGCAACAATACAGTTCAAATTTAAGTACAACGCGTGTGACCAAAGGAACAAGCCAGCTCCAATGAACATAAGTGGTAAAAAGCTTGGAGGCCAGGCACTGCAAAACTACACTCTTTTGTTACTTCTACCAATAATGGTGGGAGACGAAGTTCAGGATGCAACTAACGAAATGTGGCGTCTCCTTTTGACTCTCCAACAGATTGTAGAACTCGTCATGGCAACTGCCATTTCAGATGACCAAGTGTCATATCTGGCACTCTTGATCAGTGATTACATCTGTGAGAGGGTAAGGTTGTTTCCAGCTGTTCCACTTCGTCCAAAGCATCATTATTTATTCCATTATCCTTATCTCATTAAACAGTTTGGACCACTCGTGAAGGTATGGTCTCTCCGATTCGAAAGTAAGCACAGCTACTTCAAACGTTGCATTAGAGCATCTGGCAACTTTATTAATGTTACAAAGTCACTTGCTCAGAAACACCAGCTCCTGCAGTCTTACTTGCAAAAGGAAGGCTTGTTTGGACCAGCTGCGGCGTTTAGTGACCTGACTCCTGCATCTGAAATAGCCAGTTGCGACAAAAACTTGTGGTGCTTCATTCAGAAAAACTTGCCCACTAGTCATGAAACCTTGATGACTGCTTCGTCAGTGACACTATGTGGCACACATTACAAGCCAGGTTCTTACATAGTGCTTGGTGGGGACCAGTACAACCTGCAGTTCGGCCAGCTTCTGCATATTGTGGTAGAGTCTGGCCATGAGGCAACTCCATTACTTCTTGTGAAAAAAGCAGCGTCTGCATTCCTCCCAAACTTCAGGCTCTACAAGTTGATGGAATTGGAAGTGGAAGAGCTACAGTTGTTGTCTTCCTCTCAGCTGATGGACATACATGCATATGTCCCGTACAGACTCCTCAACTGTCTTGTGATCAGGCTGCGGAGTTCACTATTGTTCGACGATTTTGAAGGTATGATACCAGTGATTTGTGTGGAAATTACCTTAGATTTAAAAACGGGGGACACCCTGCAACTCACTTTTTCAGTATAGCACAGACAATTGGAAAATGTAGGCCAAACAAAAAACCTCTAGGCAGGCTTTTCTAGTTTTTTTTAAATATATTATATCATTCGTTGCAAGTTTTTACTAAGGTGCCTTCATGTGCGCTTCGCATAGGGTGATGCCAACTGCCTGTTTCCCTTTCTCACACCCTCGTCCATCGCCATTTTGTTCCTAATTGTTTCCCCGTGCGCCGAAAAGTGGCCTTTGTGTCCATCGGTCCTCCCATCCGAGGGGGGAAATGCTAATCCTCCCTCCGTGGGTTCCACAACGCTGCTCCGAACTTGTGAGATAAGGTGCTTGTTTCCGGGAGGGTTATAAGCCCACGGATTATCGCCAAGGACCAAAATGGCTGCTGGTTTGTCGGTGAGTGGTATTACAAAGGGTGGCATCACCCTAGCAAAGCGCACATGAAGGCTCCCTAGTTTTTACACCCGCAATGTCTAATAACTTTAATTTGCAGTAGTGGGGAGTAACGTAAATAGGTTTTCATTTGGAAAAGTCGTGAAATTATCAGGGAATATCGTCAAAACGTTAGCCCCACGAGGGAAAATGATCAGTAAAAGTGGAACGGCAATGCGGAACAAAGCTAGATGGTTGCGCATGAGCACAGCCATGTCGAATAATGTTTTTGAAATATGATCCTTTGACCTGCAAATGCTCACGGGATTTTATCAAAATAGTCAAGGGAAAAACTGGGAAAAGTCGGGGAATTTAAGATCACTAATTTTGTAGACACCCTGTTAAATTGTAGCAATGCTTTACCAGCTAACTTGCACCCTTATTTTTTTTTCTAAATTACAATTGTTTTGTAGCATATAACATAAACTTTGCATTTGTACGTTCACTGTTTTTCAGATGATAGTCAAGATCTGGAGCCTTGATAAAACAATAAAGAAACTGGCAGTGGTTGCCACTTTCGACGCCATAAAGAAAAAGGCCATAGAGTTCGGTATATGCTGCAATGGAGACATCAAGGTTTGTAAAATAATTTCAGCAGTTGAAATTGTGTACTTAGCCATTCCTATTCTCAAAATAACATACCCTGTTTCCAGGTGCACATGCTGGATGGAACGGAGGTGGACGAAGAAGCTTTCAATTGTTTGAATCAGTCATCTGAGGATGCTACTTACACCTTCATTGCTACAACAGATTCTTGGGTGTCAGGCAAGTCCAAGCTTGAATTTACTTTAGGAATGGGGGAGTAGTAATTTTTCAGTTAAAAGCAAATGTGAAGCAAATTATAACGTAATATGAGAAATGAAAAATAACTTCGAAACACCTAATTTCATAGAACGGAAAAAAAGAACTTATTTAATTGATAAAGGTTCCCTAGCAAAGTTTCTGCCAATTAGTCTTTATTTATTATGCAGGCAATTAGCAACAGACGTGCAGTATAGAGTTTTTGCTTCAAACGTAACACTTCAATGGCATAGAAGCTTCAAAGACTGTAACCACAAACTACAAAGAAATGCACTTGGATTATTTTGCTTGGAATTTTAGTTACACAATATAATAACAATATTTATTAATATTCTAGAATATGTCTACTGTGCAGAAAAGTGAGCTGGTATTCTCTTTCGAGAAATTGGAAAACCTATAGGTACTGTGCTCATCGTGTTTTGTAAGCGAACACATGAAAGACATAAAAAGTTAGCTTATTGGTCTTCTCTGACAGAACTCAGATGCACAAGAAGAGAACAAAACAAGCAATGACACTGGCACCAGTGGTTGTATTTACCGGAATGAATAGCCAACACTCTTAAAGGCTGACGAATGCAAAACGATTAGGAAGCTGTCCCTCGCTTTCCTCGTTTGCACCCCAAAGAGGAAGAGACACTGCCTCCTCTCTGTGGGGGCTAGTTTTTGGACATTCTGTTTTCGGGGAAAGAGGAGAGAAGAGTGCAAGAGGGAGGGGAGAGGACACTACGGGAGGGATTTCAGCCATGCAGAAAGTGCTCCCTGTGCGTCTGCCTTTAAAGGGAAATAAAGAGGTTCTTAAGAAAACTGAGTTTGAGCCAGATTACAGCATAATGTTATCCCGTGAATCCTGAAGATTAACTAAATGCGAGAAAACTCGAGAGACCTTAAGGCGGTCGTTGCGTCATATCCAGATTTTTCGGCCGCCAAGCGCGTTTTGCTCATGTGGGCAGCACATGGAATTGCAAGCTTGTCAGGTATATTACCCTGCATGTGACACTGGTTGTGACGTTTTTGTCTGGCCTTTCTGACAATATCAAGAGTGCACGTGCATAGCTTTGATGGGCATTGTAGGCACGCAAGAGCAGAAGTTCCGACAAAACTGGGTATAATGTCACGCTCAGAGATGACAGGGCTTTGGCGCTATTTCCAAAGCACTGTTACGACTGCTCCTCGCATCCGATTGAAAAATAATTCCAATATTCGTGGTCTTGGGGGCCAAAAGAAGGTAATTAAAGTGTTTAATTTTTCGAAAATACAGAACCACTTTAGTTTTCCTTTAAGGCTTGTCGTGGCAAAGCACACTTTTTTGTTGTGAAGCACAAAAAACAGGTCCACATGCCAGTAGTCTCATACGAACGGTGGATCAAGCTTGTTGAAGGGCACATCAAACAGTCGGGTGGTGCAGGCTCTTTAAGGGAAGCCATTTATATCAAATTACTGGCAAAGATTGATCATCTCTAGGCCTTCAAAAAGACCAAAGGAAAAAAGAAATTACTTGCTTGAGCTAAAACGTGTTTGTCAACCTTGCTGGCCTAGTCATTGTTTTAACTTGTTCTCGAACGTTTCGTCAGCTTGTACAGCTAGCTGACACCATCTGATATGATGTTGCAAGGAGATACTTTACAAAAGTATGTCTTTGCAATCGGATGAGGCGGGATGGCGGTTGTTATGATAAAGCCAATTTCCTACTTTTGGTATGATTACATAAGTACCATGTCTTTTATGTGTACCTCCCTCAAGCTCCATTGCTTTGCATCGTTGCTCTGTGGTAGAGCATCTTGGTGGCCCGAAGTTTCGATGTCGACCTCCTTCAGTTACTGTCGCATTGTATTTTGAAATACCACAGCCAAAAGAAATGTTCCCCTAAGTTTAAACTGAATATGGTGCTGCACTGTTATTTTATTATCACTATTCTTTTCTTTGTCTGCCTCTTTTGGAATGATGTTTTGCTCTTCGTTTCAGGTCAGCAGGGGGATGTAACATCAACACAACATGAAGGTGTCGATGTGCCTTTTGGTTCACAAGTTCAGTTTCCCTGGAGCAGCCTTAGCAAAGACGTCATGAAAGCATTGCAAGAGGGGACTCAACTTAATCCGACTGACCGACAGGAAGTTGTGCGCATGGCTGCCGCGGCCTGTCAAAAAGTCAAGGCTAGACCATCTGCACGTGAAATAAGGAGTGCTGCCAGTTACCTTGTTGACAAGTACCCTGGGGCACTTGGGGACCCCACTTCCTGCTCAGCTACGTCAGTTTCTTCTGTAGGCCTGGCCTACAAAATAGAGAACAGAATAGAAAACAACAGAAGAGGATGCAAGCGCCTTGTGGAAGCGCTCAGTGGTGGAACCATCAAGCTAAAGAAGCAGACATCTCGATCAGCTTACGGTTGTGTGAACTGGCAGCCAGCTACTACGAGTTCTTCACTTCATGAAGTGGAAGCCTCAAGAAAGTTTCTATTGGACGAGGCATTGAAGTCGACATGTGAACAAGACGTTTGCCTTCAAACAAAGGCCATGGCTGAGTGCTACCCCCACATCAGGACGTTCATAAATTCGTCAGAGCCTCCATATTCAGCATTGGATGTCAAACGAGCGTGGCCACTTCTGTTTGTGAGGGAGCACCTCCTTGATCACTTCCATAGGTATAATTTTCATAAATATTTGTCCATGAGTTTACTCAGGTTTAGAGTTATTTACAGGGTGTCGAAAAATGCAAAGCTATAGTTATAAAATTGACGGCAATGGGAGCTGCAAATTTGACAAAAAAGTGTTCCTTTTATTATTAACCATTATAATGCTCGGGCTTGGTGGCCACTGTTTTAGTTGCATATGGACTAGGGCAGCGTGAGTAAGCAATTAGAATGTGGGGAATATCATTAACTATAAATGTAACTATGGCTTCAATGTTCTGGTAGAGCGGTCACAATAGCATGTGGTAGAGGGCAAGAAACATTTCAGCACTGCAGCATGGAGGCACACATAACTGAGTGAATATAAAAAGAAGGCAAATTGGAAACTTGCAGCAGTTTCAAAGTTTTTCCTGGCATGTGTGCTTGAAAATCTTTTTGCACAAATATACCTTTTTAAAAAGGCAGAATATGTTCAGTTCTTTGCAAGAGTCACTCACTCCTAAAACAAATATACACTATTATGCTCATAAAAAGGTGCTTTAAACGACGAATACGATTGCTACTTTCACCATACAGTGGTCCTTGCAGATTTCTTTCCTTCAATCTTTTGCTTTTCGCAAAAAGGTATCTTGATTACAAAGATTTTGGATATGAGGAGTCAGTGATAACATGATTTTTTTAAGGCTTACAGGTGTCTGTTTGGACGGAAAATTGAGCCTGCCCAAAGATGTCCTCCTCCTCGTGACATTCCTACGTTCAAGCCCCAAAAATGATGCTGTGCTCGAGTGGAGCCTCAAAATCAACAAGGCCGAGGCAGAGTTCAAAGATCAAAACGCAGCAGCTGTCTGCCTCCTCCCATTGCTTGCATCCTACTTTCAAGAAAACCTCGGAGAGCTCTTCCAGTTACATCAGGTAGGAGCATTCATAATAACCAGGCTATTTGTTTCCAAAGACACATCCTCATGACCTTGTTGAAAATAACTTCCTGGAAGTCTCACACAGGCAGTCAGCATTCCACTGAGAAACTATGCATCTGGAAATACTAAACTTTTCTTCATTTTTTGAAATTTTCAGCTATATCAGTCTTCCTGTATACCGTAACATACCGGTCATGCACCTATGTCCGAATAGGCGCCTACCTAGTGATTTTTAACCATCAGAGCAATGCCTTGTACTCTTTCTGCAGTTTCGCTTTCTGAGCGACCATCCCCCCACTTTTTCAGAATTGTCTGCAAAATCTTTGTGAACGCTTTCTTGGTATCTGACGACAATGCTGATAATGAGCACGTAAAAAGTGATATTACTATTGCTCTACGAGGAGCCAAACCTTCCTTAATCTTTTCCTGGCTGAGGTGGCTCAACTTATTATACTTCACATTAGAGTGCAATGGGAAGATATGCAACTCTAGGCTGGGTCATCTTATAGTATGTTCTACATAAATATTTCACTAAACCAAAGGGGGAGCGGCGGTGGGCACCCACTCTTGTACCACTTGCTTCTAATGGGTTCACATGATGTTTTGCATTTTTGGGATCGAGTGTTAGAGTTAACACAAAAATTATGCTAGAGAATTAACTAGTGACAAACGTTTGTACTGGCACTTCGACTCCTAAGTTAGGATCATTTGTTTTTAATATTAGCAACTTCCTTGTCCCGCAGGTGTAACAATGAGGCTTTGTGACAGATATCAGCAGATACATTGCTGCTTATTTAACGTTGTTTTTTAGTTGTTATTGAGCGTTAGGACAACAAATGTTTGTAGTTAAAAATGTCCTTATTAGTGAGAAAATAACAGGAACCGCATCCTTTCCTGTAGGTGGGATGAAGGGTTAAAGGAAATAAGGGTGAGATGAAAATAAAGTGGGTGAGACGAACCTCTTTCACATAAGTGAGGGGTGAATGGAGAATAGCCTTTTGGTATTCCCGAATACCCATGGGATTAACAGACTCTTTCAAGGTTTGGGGTTCTTGCATGTGTGGGCAGTACCAGGAGTGCGCTTCTGAGACTGTGACCTCGCAGTGGGTGCATAGGCTCTTGTCTTTATCCTGTGTATGGCGGCTTATGCACCATGTTCTTGTGGGTGTTACATTTTGCTGTTTCCTTGGAAACCATAGTGGTGTGGGTCCGTTGTCTTTTCAGGCGCACCTCTTCCCACCTGGTATAATTACCATCTGGGAGTGGGTCTAAGTCTTGTTTGAGTAGAGCCGTGAGGTGTTTTCAGTGGGCCTGTTGTGTTGTTTGGCTTCCTGGGAGAATGGGGGATCCTTTGTGTCTTTTTCAATGAAGGTGGCGCTGTTGTCACCAAGGATAGTAAGGATAAGGGAAGACAGGAACTCGCATGCGGCGGCAGACACTGTTTTATTTACTTGGGAATGGTTTGGTGTACCAGGAAGCAGTGGATTTAAAGTTGTCGGCCTTCCTGCCAGAGTCCTTTGAATGTGCCTTACACTCGTCGTGTGTTATCTTGGAGCTTGCACCTCAGTTGTTTACGGAGCTTCTGGGTGTATTTTTTATCTTCACCGTGGTTGCATTGAAATTGGCTTGGAGTTTTCAGTCCTTATTTCTCCTGTAGCATTGTTGGGCTTGCAGTCTGATAGCACACAACTTGAGGAGATGAAGGTCGGGGTCTGGGTCGTCTTGTTTAACTTGGTACTTCTGAGTGGATGTGGCTTTCATTATTCGCTCACCTAGCCACTTTTTCAGGTGCTAGGTTAATGAAGCTGATCTGTCATTTAGTGTTGGGGTGTCTTTCTGTCATTAATTCTATTTCGACGGGTAGGTGCTTGCTTCCCAAGGCGTAGGAGCAGTTTGCACTCGGGCTTGGATGTTGTGTATGGCCCATGTCAAGTCTTGTGGTGTCGTTCTCAGTGCGACGTTTGCCAATGCGAATGGCAGTCTGTTTTTCTTTGAGAATTCATAGATTGGCCTGCTTGGCGGGTGTGAAGACATTGCACTCTCTGTCATTGTCTCGCTTGTATCCCCATATTCGTGCATCTGCGGTAAAGTCGCCGGCCACGATAAGTTCTTCGGGCATCATTCTTTGCGATCCGCCTTACGTCGTCTTGCTTGTGTCCCACAGTTCTACATTCTGTGGGAATAAATATAGACCCATAGATGTATGGTACCTTCACTAGCATTTCGTGCATTTCTCAATTAACCACACATGTTTTCTGACTTTTCTTAGGTGACAACAGAAATCACAGAGGAGTTTCGTAACAGTCTGCCTGCTTCTCCTGTAATTGTTGCACTGGGTGAGCTTCATGTGTCTTTTCCTTGCATGCTTTGAATTTTTGAAGGTGCTTTCTTTTTTAATTTGTGTTGAATTTTGGAACAACAACCTAGACCGTTTTATCGTGGGTAGTGCCATTTTGAGAGTGAGAGAGAGAAGAGGGGTCAGTGCAGATGACTCCTAGTGACTCAATTGTAGTGGAATACTGTAGTGGTGTAACCAGAGTGCTGGAATACTGCAGTGGTGTAACCAAAGGGTGGTGTGCCGATTTGGACCAGAGCTAGATAGACAACCAGATTGTTTGGTTTCGGCAGCCTTATCAAGCACCAATGTAAAGCACATGTCCTGGTATTATACCATACTTCGACAATCAATGTTTGATTGATCTAGCAAGAAAAAGAGAAGTTTTTATTTTGGTTTGTGAGTGCAGGTGCCACAAAACGGCATACAGCCCAAACAGCAGGTGCCTGTGAGGCATTTGATTGTTTGGGCCTGCATTCTGTGTCTTGTCCAACCCGAACAGCCAAATTTTCTGCTCGTAGAATGTGTGGTCGCATGCGGTCTCCGGTCATTTAATTTCTAGCTAAAGCAATTTAAACGAAACCGACGACTGGCATTGCACGTTGGCATGAGACTTCCATGCTACTGATTCTGTTCACAAACTCAACAAAAAGTGTTTAATTCTACATGCTCATATACAAATTTTTTGTTTTGTTCAAGCCTTCAGGAGCACTTTGCATAACTTAATGTCATTACTGGGTATGGTAGCTCAACACTATTTAGTGTGACCCTTATTTGGCTTGGCATATAAGGTGTGCCTTATCTGTGATTGTGATGCATCTCAGTCTCAGATCTCAGATATGCGTCACAATCCTATATCAGTGTGCCTACCTATTCAGTGTCCCTGCTGGTAATACCTCTATAGAAGTTTCCAGATGTGAATATGACAATGGTATTTTTTTCTTCATTTAATGCGTGAGCGTTAAAAGCCCTATTAGAGAAAAAGCCGGCGTAGTGGTGTCGGTCGCATGACTTTTCTGGTCACTTGACTAGATAGGTCGATACATCTGATACTAACACATTTTCTCCGCATTAATTACATTAATTGCTTGTTTCTTTCCTAGGCCGCTCACTTTTCGAATGCAGCTGCCAGCTGTTTGTGGACCATGAGGTGATGGTGGAAGATGTGGGCTTTCTCCAAGCTGTGGAGCTCCTTTTCGCCCTTTATTATTGTTTAAACATCCAGTATGCCAAAGGTGCGGGAACCACACTTGAGTTCATTCAGAGGTATGGTTTATTTCCTTCATAATTTTGAGCCTCATGAGAGGCAATAAAGAGCAACTCTGCTGAATTTTGGCTGAGAAAACGATTAGTTCTCTTTATAATCATCTAGGAAGGCTACAACTGAAATCTTTCTGTATATAAAATTGGACCCTCAAAGTTTGACAAGTGCTAATCTGCTAATTTTAGCGAGCGATGTGCAGGCTAGCCAACTTTGGCACTTCCTTCAGATGTGACGTCATGTTGATATCTGTTGTATACACCGGCTTTTTTCTCTTTCAACGCCATCACATGTCCAGTCAGTTCAGACAACACTGCCTAGAGTTGACCCAGTGAGTGGGATAAATCACGTAATCATGCATCTGCCATGGACATGAGTGGGCATGCAACTGACGTCGCTGCTCACCCTTTGCTGAAGTTTCGGTTTCAATTTGCGACTTGAGTTATAAATAGCAAAGTTGCACACACAATATTCTACTTTTCGTGAAACAATGTAGAGTTGTTCATGTGTGCTTTTCAAAGTAAGGTCATCCACTATCTTGAAATTTTCTAAATTGAGTAGAGTTGCCCTTTAATTTGTCACTGGCTACCCACATTTCCAAGCTCAATTTCAAAGTCCATTATTAAACCGCAATAGGGTGTTGCATTCTTGGACCACAGAATGAATAAAACGTGCTCGGGACGAAGGAGACGACAAACATTTCTTTCAACTAAGAACAACAGGAATGAACTTAAGAGCACTCCGTGCAATTCAGACTGCCAAGAAAATGGAGAGAAAGGGAGGCAGGAAGATGAAAAGGAAAGTGTAAAGTTAGAATTGTAACTCATGCTGTTACTTCACTCTTTTTCTTATTTCCTTCCTTACAATTTTTGACACTTACCTTTCTCTCTTTCTGCCTCCCTTTCTCTCAATTTCCTTGGCGGTCTGAATTGAAGGAAGTGCTTTTAAGCTCATTCATGTTGTTAATTAAAAGAAATGTTTGTCGTCCTTCGTCCGGGTATGTTTTGTTCTTTCTGTGGTCTGTGAATTTTACCAACACACTCTTCAGTTACTTTAAAGGTTGTTATATCTTGCATAATAATTCGATTTAAAAATTTCACCTAATGTTACAATGTGACTATGTTTGATCCTATCCCAGAAATCACAAATAAATATGTCAATATATCTACTATTCCTATTGTTTTATCTTTACTGAATGTGTCATTTACTTATAATTCTATTTGGCATTCAGTTAGAAGGCAGAGTCATAAGCAGTATACATCATTAAATTATTTTTGGCTGGAAACAAATTGGAGCTTCAAAATATGTTTAATATACTCAGCTAATTATTTATTTAAGAGTTTCTTTACTGCACCACACTATTCTGTATCACTCTAAAAGTGTCTAGAAGTGATATGTGCAGATGATCTCTAATTCATAACTAAATTTGACTGATATACAACCTTTTCACAACTTTTTGAAGCTTTATTTCTGCATGTTTTAGTAGCATGTGGTTCATGTTTGATTTTGTACCTGAATACCTTTTTCTCGTCTTTATACATGTTTATCAATCGTATGTTCTTTCGACAGTGGCTGGCCAAAATGTGGCTTCCTAAAAAAAGAGAATGATTCTCTTACAACATTCCTTTTGCCATGTCTGGTGCTTTTAAGCAATCATTAACAGCTAGTTGAGTATTTTAGGTCATTCAACTGTCTGCAATACTAATTATGCAAATGACTGCTTGCTTAATTACGAGTAGAAATGCAGAGGAGGAATTGCTTTGTGACTGTGTAGGACAACAGACAAATTTTAATGCTGTATTGTAATAAAAGAAATAAGCACGAAGCAGGGATGGGCAAAATACATGCAAATATGTATCGAAATACAAATACGAAATGCTTAGTCAAAAATGTATTTAATTACAAATCTAATTACTTTTTCAAAAAAGTATTTAAGTACAAGATACAAATACAGACAGAAAAGTAGTTGGTCTCTTCCAAATACTTTTCCAAATACATTCCTTAAAATTTGCGTCAACGACTTCAGGGCACCTGCAACAGGTTTCTGGGTATCTCATTTTAATTTTGCATCGCACACTCGGGAGTTAGTGCTCGAGGCTCTAGTAACGTAATACAAATATTATCACAAAAAACAAATGTAATCAGCTTGGACGTAATAGGTGAAAAAAGTACAGAGCTTCAAGCAGTTTTTTTTTGTTGATTACATTTTGGTATAGACAATCAAAGAACCGAGACGACCAAGACGCGCAGCTCTAGCTACAGATTTTTTTATTGTTGCAACTCGCACCAGTTACAAACATCTGGATGACCCGCGCATTTAGAATGTTCGAGGCAAAGGTATGGATGGAAATCAGGCTGGAAAGCATCACAAGTTGTCACCGTCACTTATTTAGCCAGTCTGCCTGTGAACGTCGATTTCGTCACTATTCTTTCCCTGGACTAGCACCGTAATTACAAAGTCACTAAACGCTTGTGCTTGATTGAGAGACACTGCATTCGGTGCAGAACGTAGTTTTCTTCCTGCTCTGGACAGTGACAATAAATTTGAGGGATGTATTTTCGCCCACAAAATTGTATTTAATTACAATTGTATTTGAAATACACACGTTTTAGTATTTAAATACACACGTCAAATACATTACAGAATTTTTAATTAAATACAAATGCAGAATACACAAAGTATTTGAAATACGTAGTTCAAATACTTGTATTTGAAATACTGCCCATCCCTGGCGCGAAGTATGTACTTGTTCTTCTGATTATGTCGCTGCTATAAAATTTACTTTTGTTTGCTTCCAAAGCTTCTCCCAAATGACTCAAATCAATTACATCGCTGTCTGTTCAATATCTTTTTAAATCAACATGTTTTTAGTGTTTTGTAGTTCTAAAAGTTACATTATATGAATCCTACCCCTTAAGATGTGCCACATGGGGCTTATAACTTCTGAAATATTCCGAGTTCTGTATCCCCATCGCATCTGAGTGAGGGAAACCTTGAGTGCCAGATTTTCTCCTCTTGCAGAAAAATGACACCTTATTACAATATTTTTTTTTTTGTTGTTCCCTCATTGTTCTATTTTCCTCAAAATCTAGGCATGAATTTGTACCTTGACATATTTTCTTTAAGTGCACAGTCTGCTGGCCTAAATGTAGGTTTTGCTCAGCTTGTTATGGCTTAATTGTTATTTTAGGAACCTTCAACACACTTATACTTTTGAACTGTGCACCTATGTGACTTTGGTGGCAAAGCTTGGGGCTTTCGACATTAGTTGTGCATGTAAAATATCAGCAAGTACTGATCCCAAATCCTTCACTGCAATTTTTTTTCACTTGTCTGGTTTCTGACCAAATACTTATGGGCCAATCTGCTATTTGTTTCAGATACCAAGTTGGTATCAAACAACATGATGGGTCACGACAGGAGGCCGGGAGGTCGAAAGGAGCTCGGGCAAGAGCAATCAAAGCCGCCACAGATCTTGCTGCTTTTGAGAAAAAATGGAACAGTGTGAGTACATATTTGATTTGGCATGTGTACGATGTGGTATCAAAAGGTTTCCAGTCTTGTTTTGTATTAAAAAGAAAAGCAAATAGCGGCACGACACTGCATTCACAGGGGTCGAGGGCAGCAACCTTGATCTGTCATGGTGCTGAGTGGCTCAATGTGGCAATGCACAGGCGAGTTGGTGTATGATTACAACTGGTAGCAGCATGCAAAAAACGCACGGACAAAGGGACGAATGCACAGGACTTCGGTGTTTCCTTTTCATTAAACATTTAGTTGAAGTTCAGCGCTCGCCTTGTGCATTTCCTCCCTTTGTCCTTGTGTTTTTGCGCGCTGCTACCAGAGGCTTAGAGCATCGCTCTGTGAGCTTGGGAGCCCCGCTGTACAGGTTTTTGTGACTTTATGTGCGTGCGCCTCTGCAATTTGTGCAAGTGGTTGTGGTCCTCCCGTAGCCTTTTCAATCATCTGAATATGAATTTGTTTTATTTTCAGCTCATCTGATGATCGATCGGATGCCATGAAGGTTTCTTTATAATTATGTTCTTTTACGGTTTACAATATAGTTCTTCAATTTCAAAACTGCCTCCGTTTTGTCGTGTCCCTTTTTTCAGACACACTACACTTGTTTATAAGGATTTGTCGTTATATTACGGAACTGTACTGCGCTAACTCATGATGCCAGACGTTATCTGTAACCCTCCGTAATACTACCAGGGCCGTAACTGAGAGTTCACATTATTGTTACCGTACAGCGAGCACACAGCGATAGAAGTGCAGTACGCAAGTACGGGATTAAAGCTGCAAAGTAAACTTGAGGTATGCAAGCCGTCAAGCGTTCCGACAGTATTGAAGGCGTAAGGGAAGGGTACGGTAACTGAACTGTTACCGTTACAATACGGCAATGGAAGTGCAGTATGAAAATACGGGACTGAAACCGTACCCTTCCCTTACGCTTTCAATACCGTCTGAACACTCGACGGCTTGGATACCTCGAGCTAAGTTTGCGGCTTTAGTCCTGTACTTGCGTACTGCGCTTCTATTGCTGTATGTCTGCTGTACAGAAATGATAATGTAAACTGTCAGCTACGGCTTTGGTGGTATTACGGAGGGTTACAGATAACGTCTGGCATCATGAGTTAGCGCAGTACGGTTCTGTAATATAACGGCACTTTTTTTAACAGTGTATATTTATATTTCAATTGCGCTGATGTTCGATTATACTGCAACTAAAACTAACCCCATTTTTGTTGCTGTTTTACGTAAACGCGCGACGTTGGTGAGCCGATATTTTTGACAGAACTTTAAAACCTTGTCCATCTTTGTTGCCTCAATTTACTTATTCAGCTTGAATCTCTCTCGCAGAAGACGCGACCGCGTGAAAGAATGTACGTCTAGAGTCCGTTTCACTTTAATTCAAGACGCAGCAAAGGTAGCACGCATACACGCGCCTGCAGGAACATCGAGCATTGCGAGAGCACGCCCGCCGTTGCAGCAGTCAAGCTACGAGCTCGCGCTGAGTACTTTCTTCGCTCGGGCGCAAGCCGAGCTTCTGGCCGCCCCGCAGCCATCTCCAAGGTTCGAGCGCGCTAAAATGCGCCCGAGCGCACGCGTGTTTCTTTTTCGAGGTTACAAAAGCACATCTCACTGGAATGCTTGGGGAGAGGGAGAGGGGCTGTCCCTGTGGTCCTCGCCCCCTCCCTCCTCTTTTGTCACCCGTCACGTGACCCACAGCCGCGCGCGAGCTACACGCTGATAAGAATCGAGATCCGGAAGGGTGCGCCTGACAGCCGCTTTTTTCTTTGTCTGCTTGTTGTCATTTCCAGCTTGAACTTCACGCGTCCACCTGCTTCGATCTGTCGCCTAACCCTGCCGTCTTATTAGGATGTCTCTCGACAACGTATTTGATGTGCACCAAAGCTCTCAGTGTTCGAAAAGTCCTACGCCTATATCGGCAACAAGCGATTCTTCAAAGAAGTCAGGAATTCTTGCGGTTTGGTTGGGTTCGGCAAATGACAGCTTGTGCGCCACATCGTGTTGAAACTTCCAAGGAGCCGTTCCTTCTCGTTTGTGTTTGTGTGATGTCCTGCTTTGACCGTGTCGACAAATATCACTGATTACATCTTTCAAGTCCGCAATTTTTATGGTAAGTGCACTGCAGCCTACTTCTTGGCAACGATTGACCGTTCTTCTACTCGTACTCTTCCAGATTATCTATATAATTATGCAGCCGCTATTCTCGCGGCAGCCGGGCGAATAATTTCCCGAAAGTCTACCTTCATAGTCTAGAATCACCTCGGTTCTTGTTTGGTTTGCTATCTTCTCAGTTGTATAAAAGCTTAGAGTGCCTCTCACATTTCACAGATCACTTGCACGTTTGTACTTGTCTACAGAAGACGTAATAAACTTTGAGGAGAATTGACAACAATCTTTCGTTTCTGTTTTCCTGTCCATTTGCAAGCACCTACGTGAGCACATTTGTTCTACGTGTTTCCTCCATGTTATAAATAAGTTTATGAGTTTCGGAACGTCTTAAATAAGTTTAAGATAACCAACCTACCAGACGATTCCTATTTAGGGCCAGGGTCGCCAGGTTGGGCTATTAATAGCCAAATTGGGCTACTTTGTCATGCATTTGGCGTCGAAATTTGGAGGATGGCTATGTGGCTATTTTTGGGCTATTTTAAATCCTAATGCAAACTCGTTTTTTTTTTTTTTTTTTGCTTGATATTCGCGATTTCAGCGACCTATAGGGGGCGCCACCACCAAACAAACATGGCGGCTGAGTCCAGGTCGCGTCGGCTCGGCCGGGCCGCCTGAACGGGTGGCGCGTTCAATTTAACTGATATTCTTTTGTTTAATGCCCAATTTTATAGGTATTTGAACTAAGGCGGTTAAGTGTAGCCGGTGCACATAAACTTGCAAAGCATAGTTTTGTTTTCCCGGTGTTTTTTTTTTTCTTTTCATGTCAAACTTTCAGCGATTTTGTTCAAAACCGAAATTATGGGCTCCGGAGAGACGGTGATATACTAATCAGTTTTGGTCATCTAAGGAAAACGGCGATGACTACAGAATTGTTCAACCGAGAGTAATTTTCAGCTAACACGCATGCCTCGACCATGCGGCTTATCTGTCTGCGAAATCGAGCTTTTGTGCGTATTCGCGTTTAAGAAACAGCTCCAGTCGTCTGCTCGGTCAACAACACAGGCTGCAGGAAAATTACTAAAATTAAGCAAGCGCTTCTTGAGCCAAGGAGCACGTAAATCCGCCGGCGTCCCACTAAGCAGCTGATACTCGTATTTCAATTCAGGTTTTAGTAGCAATCGAGAAGTCATTTTGACGAGCGGGTTGTGTATTAAATTACGTACTATGGTCCCACTAAAGCGATATTAGTATATTCTTCGGGTTGAAATATGGCTTAATTGACTAGCTATTATGTGAACTGCTAAATAAAAGTATATTTGACAGACAAAGAGATACTACTTAAACTTAGCCAAATGGTTCTAGCCGGCATCACAGACAAACTGAAGAGAGTCTTCATCGGAGATTCACGCAGAACCTCTCCGGCATTGAACTTTGCTTCGAATCCTGAACGGAGAAAATTAGTATTTTTTGTGGCCGGAAAATCTGAGCAATGTAGACGTATATTGCTGCTGGCTTCGACGGGGGTATAATATGAATATTGGAGGCGCGATAGATCAAAATGTCGTGACAGCTTCTAACGTTACGAGGCTCGTCCCCCACCTTTTGAAAACAGATAATTTCCCTCATTAATCATTTGCAGCGAGCAGGTTTTCCTGAATCAAGTAATTGCGAAATCAGCCCAACTCCTTCTGTGTGGTTCAGAGACTTTTTCGGCGAAAAGCAGGCAAGATGAATAGCCAACGCACCGACCGGCGTGGGTGGCTCAAACTTAAAGCTAACCGAATACAACCAAACTCAAGAAAAGCAGCTATCGAACGTTCCCATTCACTTGACTGCAACATTGGTGTTCCCTCCAGTGAAGTGCCTCGTCTGTCGTCCTCAGTCCACTGTTCTACATCCTTACAAAGAAACCATTCATCAGTTACCAAGCAGTCGTCACTTTGAATGTGATTCGAGACAGACAAGAAATCAAAATGTTTTTCCGTGATTCCTCCCCATCCAAGAAATCGAAAGCACGCGACCGTCTGTTGTGGAGTAAACGGGCTTTCAAACACGTGATGGAAGGATCTACTGAGGCTTCACCACACTAATGAACACTCAGGCAAAGTTAAAAAAATTTCCGGACCCTCGTCAATTTACATTGTTCGCCACCGCGCCGACAACACTTGTTCGCGAAAGCCACCGGAGACGCGGAGGGGCGCGGAGCGACCTGTTCCGGCTGGTTCCCGGTTTTCCCGCTTGGTGGCGTTCGTTTTGCTGGAGTCGCGAATAGGGTAGATGTACAAAAACCCCTCAGCGCGTACACAAAGCGACAGTCCACCCATTCTAGATTCCCGCTTTTAGGGTTTTTCTGCGTGGAGATTCCTGGGCGTGAGCTACCGTGACCTAGATTCAGCTCCGATGACATCGCTTTTGTATTAATTGTGGCTTATTTTATGCTCCCCAGTTCTTTCTGCTACCTACTGGCGTCTCTTATTTTCTTAAGTTTCCCAAAATCCTCCAACAGGAGGCACCTCATCCGAGGAAAAATTATACTAAAGGCAACTCAAAACGTGATGTCGCCTGGTAACGCGTGCTGTACCGGATATAACAAAGGAGGCTTTTCCGTGAAACGTGGAAGTTTCTTATAGCACAATGAGCCATAACAAAAGACAACAGATTTTGGACAATGTATATTCCGAACAAGGCCAAGATCGATGCGCAGGAGCAGCCCTGTTTCCGTTGCTATCCGAGCTTGCCATTGCGCTCCCGACACTGTCGAATGCCACCGTGGAGAGAGTATTCAGTCATGTATCCCTCACGAAGTCAGGCCTAAGGAAGAACATGTCCCTTCCAACTCTTCAAAACGTCCTCTATGTAAAGTTTGCTTTCTTTGGAAAGAACGAGTGCTGTAAGGACAGAAACTCTCCTAAAGAAGTTTTTGCCCGTTTTAAGACGGAAATCGTGTATGAGGCGCGAGCGAGTGCTTCATAACTATGTGACTGCAAAAACGCGTGTGGAATATTTTTTGTACTGTTGTGCTTGAAATAAAGCGTTCAGTACATTTAAAGATGTCATAGATCTTGCAAGCTTCCCCTAAACCCCAGATATACAGACTCAGTGCCTTCGAATTGAGCTTGCACATTCCAGCGCACAATATTTTGGGTTCTGCAGAATATGGCTACTTTTGGGCTACATAAATCTCTTGCATTTGGCTACTTTTGGGCTACACCGTCTGGCAGTTGGCGGTTTGTGCTAGAAACAACCTGGCAACCCTGTTTAGGGCTAGCGCATAATTTCCCGATTCGAATGGCACGTTCAAACGTGTGGTCACGTGCAAGGTCGAACGGGCACCTGTTTCAAATGGGTACCGTTTCGAGCGGGTACCGTTTCAAACGGCTACCCGTATCCCATAATCACGTTTGATCCAAACGGGTCGACAAGTTTGCACCCGTTTGATTT